GTTGTGGGGCTTGAACTCTGGGCCTGGGTGCTGTCCCTCAGCTCTTCAGCTCAAGGAGAGCAGTCTGCCACTTGAGCCACAGCGCCACTTCCCATTTTCTGGAGGTTAATTGGAGGTGAGAGTCTCACGAACTTTCTTGCCTCGGCTGGCTTTGAACTACAATTCTCAGAACTCACTTTTCTGAGTAGCTAGGATGACAGGCTTGTGCGCCATCAGCACCAGGCTTCCTTTGTGGGTTTTTTTCCCTTCTTCTTTTCTTTTAATTATCTTTAAGTAGTTGTACAAAGGAATCACCACTGGATAAAGCTTATGAATACAATACATCTTGATCTGACTTTATATCCTGCTTGCATTTCAACTTGCATGGTGGTTGGCGAAGCCGCCCACAGCCATCCTCAAACCCTTGCATCTCCGAAATAGTAGGCTGGGACAAGTTGGCTGGAAACATACAGATGCAGCCGAGTCTCCAGGACTTCTGGAGCCCCAGACTGCAGCTGGAATAGCTGGGACCTAGACGCCGGCAGCCAGCCAGAGCAGCGGCGCTGGTTGGCAGAGGAGCTGGCGAGGGCGGAGCTGGCTTGGGCGGGGCTTGCTCGGGCGGAGACCCGAGCGCTGAGGGCTGAGGTCGGAGCCTGGGTCTAGGCGGAGCTCGGGCGAGGTTCCCAGGTCCCAGGCCATGGGTTTTCTGCGGTGCTGGTTGCTTTGGGTGCTCCCTCAGGTTTGGGGAAGTTCTAAGGGTGAGTGGGAGGAGGGCGAGCGGGTGCGTGCGGAGGTAGGCGCAGAGAAGGAGCGGGGCGATTCGCACACCCGCGCCTCTCCCCTGACTCATCTACTGATGATTTCCCCACCCTCCTTCCCCTCTTTTTTCTTTCTCCGGTGCTGCTGGCGCTCTTTGGTACCGCTACCTTCGTTCACCGTTCACTGCCGCCCCAGTCCTGGAAAGCCGGCTCCCTTTGCGTGCCCTCCAGATCTCCTCCTTTGTCAACAGCAGCTGGATGCGCACCGATTGCTCGGCATGGCTAGGGGATCTGCAGACGCACCGCTGGGACAACGCCTCGGACACCATTGAATTTGTGAAGCCTTGGGCTCAGGGCAAACTGAGCCTTCATCAGTGGGAGAATCTACAGCATATATTTAGGGTTTTTCGAAGCAGTTTCACCAGGGACATACAGGAATTTAGCAAAATGCTACAATTCGACTGTGAGTGGAGGGATGGGACGCTCTGGGCAGGCGCACGGGCGGTGGGAGGAGTGGACACAGAGCCCCACTGGGAGACCGTCCACCAGGCACGCCACAAGCGAGTTTTGCTTTCTCCTTTTGCCTGGAGAGGTCCCTTTTTTTGGGTCTGGTCATGGGGCCTGAACTCTGGGCCTGGGCGCTGTCTCTCAGCTCTTCTGCTCAAGGCTAGCGCTCTACCACTTGAGCCACAGCGCCACTTCCAGCCTTTTCTGCTTATGTGGTGCTGAGGAATCAAACCCAGGGCCTCATGCATG